AAAGGGACCCGCTACTGTAGCGCGGGTACGCGATTACTGTAATACGGTATTATAACGGCCTTAACTCACTCATCCGACCTCAGAATGAGGTGATTCAAGATGCGTTAGAAAGCTTACGAAGAGACCTTCAACTTTTGTCTTTGAATTTTCTAGATTCAAATTGTATCATGGTCAAAATGTCAATCATTTGTGCTAACCACTTTAAGGTGTTTGACACTTTCTAACTTCTTCGTACTTGTATTGTGCATTTCGTCATTTCGTTAACTTGTACACTCCAATGACTCACTTTGTATATTTGTTAGCTTCCACGAGACCAGATAATGCTTTCCTGACTTGAATGATGACGCTTATCGTTTGCATTTCGTCTCGAGCTGCATACGGGAACCTATAGGTAATTTTTAAAGCCTACAATTTGTGATTGGTATGTAGTACCTATTGAGGAAACTAAGCTAACTGAAGGGTGATAGATTGTATAAATAACATTCTAAATGATCCAAGATGAACATAACTCACCTGATCTTTGCTGACGACCTATTGCTGTTTAGCAAAGCTGATATGAGTTCAATCTCCAGGTTGAATATGTGCTTTCAAGAGTTCAACCGGGTCTCATGTCTAAAGCAAATCCTAATAAATGTTTGATATTTTTGAGTGGGATTGATGATAGCTTAAAAACTCAGATTTGCAATTATCTTAACTTCTCTGAGGGGTCTTGTCAATGCGCTATCTGGGTATGTCATTGATTGCAAAGAGACTTACCTACCTGGATTTTTCTTCTCTAACCAGTAAAATATCTGGCCAATTCCAAACCTGGCAACAAGGGAGGTATCTGTCCTATCAAGGGAGACTTCAGTTGATAAAATTGGTTATACTGTGTATTCAAACTTTTTAGACGAGTAATTACATTCTTCCAATTATAGTGTTAGAGAAAATTGATCGATTATGCTTAGCTTTCCTATGGGGGGAAAATTCTTCTTGTCTCATGGAGTATTGTTTGTTAGAGCAAGGAGAAGGGAGGTCTGGGAATCTTTTCAGCAAAAGAATGGAACTACGCGGCTGCAATTAAGCTTTTATGGTTAATTCATCTTAAAAAAGACTTGCTTTGGTTCAAATGAATTCATGAAAACTATTTACAAGCTTTCAGATATCTGGCAAATTCCACTTAAGGAGAATGATTCATGGATGTGGAAACAACTCCTCAGAGTGAGGGATTTGGTGCTAGCCAGATTTGGAAATATTGCAAACTTGCAAAACATCATTGGTTCATGCTCCAAAGATGGAAAAATTCAACTATCCTCTGTTTATAATGCTCTTACTCAAACAACTCCTCCAGCTCATTGGTCTGTCACAGTTCGGAAGGGACTACATTATCCAAAACACTCGTTTGTTCTTTGGTTAGCTAGTCTTTCTAGGTTATTAACCCAGGACAGACTTTGCCGTATGGGAATTTTTGACTCAAACAAATGTGTTTTGTATCCAAATCAACAATTGAAAACTAGCAAGCACCTCTTCTTAGAATGCCAATTTTTAGCTGATATATGGAACAAAGTGATGAATTGGATGGGATACTCGTGGAGATCATGCAACTGGAACCAACTAATTAATTGGTACTCCTTCAATCTCAAAGGAAGTGGTTTTAAGCAACAACTAAAGAGAATGACTCTCTCAGTTATAGTTCAGAATGACTCTCTCAGTTATAGTTTACTTGATTTGGCAAGAGAGAAACATGAGAAGTTTTTAAGGTAAGATCCGGGAGGTAGAGCTATTAATTATTCAGGATAGTAAAAATCTTAATATAATCCAAGGTTTTGAATGATAACATACCTATCCATATGAAGGATATCCTTGAGAGATTGTAATTAGTATTCTTGAGAGAATGTAATTAGTTTACATTGTGATCACTAGACAAATTTTCTGGTGTTTTGATGTTCTTTAAAGTTTACATATTGGGAAATGAATAAAATTCTTTTTCATTGATAAAAAACAATATAATATTCAAAAGACTTAAGGATAATATTAACCACAGGATTGCAATATTCTCTTTGGACAACAAATAAAAAAAATGAGAACATATTTCAAAAATATACAGGTTTATGTCAAAATATTTCAAAAGATTGTATTTATACGAATTGAAATATTTTATAATTGCAGACTACTCGCCAGGACATAGTTTAGAAATAAATTATCACGTAGGTTCATAGGTGAACATATACACTTTATATCTTCTATATTATCCTAACGAAGTTAAGGATAATTATTTTCAGTTTCTCACGTGCAATGAGTTGGTACTCAGATATTTTCACTCTAACTTCTCATATAATTACTAATGGTATAGGATAGGGCAACAGCTTCTCATCTATTTACCAATTATTAAAATTGACCATGTAATTTTAGTAATTAGCCATTAGTTATAGTAGGAAGACAATGTCATATTGAAATTATTTTCAATTTCTCACGTGCAAAGGATTAGTATAATTATAGTAGGAAAACAATATAATATTTAAAAAAGTTAAGAGTAATATTGATCATGAAAAGTTTTTTCCAAGCCCACACATTTATAGGGAGTATTATATAATTTTTTTTCTTTCTTCTAAAATCATTCTTTGGTTCACCTCTCGGTATGTCTATTACCATTGCATGTAACTACCAATTAATCTTAATCAACTGTTGAAGTTACTGATTCAGTTAAACTTGAAAACTAATAGTTATTGAGGCTCACATTTAAAAGTGATCATAGTTAAAATAGATAAACATAAACATATTTGATCTAATCCAACAATATCATATTAGATATCTAATTCGGAAACAAATGATCGGCATGCCAATACAATTTTCAACTAAACAAGCACACTAATACATTTTCGATGATGTATCAAACTATCAATAAAATCATCAATTTTAAAATGAACTCTAGTAAACGTATAAGGAGAGTAGTGCAAGCTCAGCCTAATTATATTATACAAATGAATAGAGTATTTTTTTTTTTGGTAAATGAGAAATTTTTATTCATCACCAAAATTGGAAAAATGTTAGTACATCATGAATCTCATCATATGTTTGAGATATCAAAACCGGTAACTAAAGCTCAAAAGAAGCTGAGCTAAACAAGTATAAAATCAATCTAACAACAAACAAAGTGTTATACATTTTCCACTGACTACTGATAAGAGATGAAACCAGAGCTTCGGCTGGATTGGGTCTGAAGCTGCTGTCCTTCAAAACCAGTAAACTGTATAGATTTTTACAAAGAGAGGAGCCATGCTCTATTTTCCTCCAAAATGGGAATGTTTAGGTTGTTGATCAATATGTCCATCTTGATATTATTCACCAATTGCTCAACACCTTTGGTCTTAGACTGTAATATTCTTGCATTCCTTTCACACCAAATTCTGTAGATAGCCGCAGATAAAGCCATTCTTTTTATACCCTGTTTAAATCCAACTCCCCTCAGCTTGGTGCAGTACCAGTTCATAAGGAGATCCCAATCACAAGATTTCCAGGAGAATTGAAGTCAATCCATTATATTGTTCCATACCTCCCTAGAGAAGCTATAATAAAAAAAAAAAGATGATCACGGCTCTCTAAACTTCCACCAGAGCATAAGCAACAAACATTGTCACTTATAATGCCTCTTCTTAACAATCTGTCATGGGTGAGCAGTTTGTTTTGGACAGTTAACCAGCATATAAATGCATGTTTTGGGTAGCATCTCTTATCCTACACAGTGACATGCCATGGAACTATAAATGTAGCAGGGGACATGGCTTGATATACTGTAGAAACTTGTATTTTGGAATTGATTGTACAGGAGTTTAGAAGTTGTATTAGATTCTCCACTCCTCCACAGTATTGAACTGCTTTATCTCTGGCTTTCAATAGTTATTTCCACATCCAGGAATCTCCTGATTTTACACTCACATTCTAGATATCTCTACGTCTCAAATAGGTTCCATGAACCCATCCGATCCAGAGAGACTCTTTATTGATATGGATATGCCATAGTATCTTTAAAGCAGCTGCCAGGTTCCAAATAGAGACTGAGAACACTCCTAATCCACCTTGCTTCTTCCCTTGACATACTCTTGCCCAGGAGACTAAAGGAGTTCTGGAAGTGTGATCAGATTTACCCCACAAGAATAGTCTGCATAATTCTTCAATTTTACGGGATACCTTGACTGGCAAAATGTAATTTGAGGTCCAATATATTTGTATGCCCAAAATGACACTCTTTATGACTTGAAGTCTGCCCGTATAAGTGAGATTTTTAATTTTGTTCCATGTCTGGAATTGATCAATTACTTTGTTGATGAGAGAGGTGCAATCCTCATAAGTAAGTCTTTTGCAAATTAGTGGAACTCCTAGGTATCTAATAGGCAGTGTACCCTTCTGAGAAATTTAAGAGATGCTTTATATTGTCCTTGATTGTGTCATCAACACCACCAAAATAGATAGAGCATTTATGCTGATTAGCTTCAAGCCCAGAGTATCTTACTGAACTTTTGAATGATTTGAAATACTGCACTGAATATAAATCCCCATAGCTGAATAAAAGCAAGTCATCGGTGAAGATCAGGTGAGTGATTTTGAGTTTGCTACATTTGGGATGATATTTGAAGTCCCTGTCATTTCTCAGCATATCAAAATTTCTGGATAGGTATTCTATACCCAATATAAAGAGATAAGGAGAAAGAGGGTCTCCTTGTCTCAAGCCTCTCTCACCCTTGAAGTATCCATGAAGGGATCCATTGAGGGATATGAAGAATTTTGGATTAGATATGCAGGCCATGACCCAAGTAATCATCAGTTCAGGAAAACCCAGCCCCTTAAGCATTTCGTGAATGAATTTCCAACTGATAGTATCAAATGCCTTTTTAATATCTATGTTTAGCATGATTCTGGGGGACATATGCTTCCTATTATAGCCTTTAACTAGCTCATGTGCTAACAAGATGTTACTTGTTATATATGCCTTCCTTTAATAAATGCATTTTGTGCTTCATTCATCAGAAACCCAATGACAGTCTTAATCATGTTGGCTAAAATTTTAGAAATGATCTTGTATAGGCAATTGCAACAAGATATGGGCCTGAAATCTGAGGGAGTTTTGGGGCACTTCACTTTGGGTATAAGAGTTAAGGAGGTTGAATTTACCACACCCAGTAATTTGCCTGTTTTGAAAAAAAATCCTCAATGGCAAGAGTGACATCCTCACCTATTATTGACCATGTAAATTTGAAGAATAAGGCTCTAAAACCATCTGGACCTGGGGACTTATTATCAATGAATAGAGTATTTAGTAGTTGTTACTTGTAGTCAGTTGGTAATTAGTTGCTCCTTCTAACCTTCTATTCTCTTTCTTTTAAATCCCCCCCAGTGACTAACTTTGTCATGTCTTGTAATCAAAAGTGGACACATTATTGCATCGTCAATTACCTCTTTATGTTTGCTTTTGAGTTTTGGAAATCTCTAGGCAATCTAATAAGCTGAAGTATGGAAGAAATGATGCCTTTCTTCTGTTGTTTCAACCTCAGTTTCAATTGTGGAGTTATATCTTGATAGAAAAGCTTTCGTCTCTTTATTCATCCATACCTTTATTCCACAATTATGTTGGCAGTGCCAGTGCTTAAGGAATAAGCTGTTCATTTTGATCTTCCTTTTCCAATCAACTCTATTGAAGTTTTCACCTCCAAGAAAGTAGTCAGAAGTTTTCGCATTCCTCTTAAACCATCTAAATCTCTTGGTTAATGATTCCTTTCCTTATATGTTTGACTATATTTTTATCTTGATTTTCCCTTTGAAGATTACACAATATAATTCGACTACACCATTTCAATATATAATATATGACTTAAATTTCTTCCCCCCACCTATATCTCTCTCCACTCAATCTTTTTTTCTGCAGTACTTTAATTATAAACATTATTAACAGTGCAGTTTGAGGTGTTGACATTTGCACATGCATGATAGAGTATAATCTAACACAATAATTGTGCACACGCGATGTCCTTTGATTTATTCATTATATATATTTATATGTCCCATGTTATTCTTGAGTGAATGAGGAATTAATAATAATAATAATAGTAATCTTGAGGTTGAGCTTCCACGAACTCATATACTTGTGCCTAGGGGAGAGGGAACCTCGATCAACATCTAATCGAAAGCTAACTCTACCTACTTCTGCTACCTAGAAATTATTTTTATATCTTCTATGTAGAAGATATATATTCTAAAACCGCAAACAATAAGGAAAGATATGATCTTCTTGGACAGTATTCACATAGTTTTTGAAATAGGCCGTATTATTGTTCTCACCCATGACGTAACCATAGAACGGAATCACTATAGTTGTTCCAACTGCTCTATTGGCTAGTAAGTATTTTAGAGTTAAAAAGTGATCAAAAATCAAAAAATAAATGAAAATCAAGTCCTAAGTAATTAAAAGACGGAATAATAATAATAATAATAATAATAATAATATATACTATCAAGAATGTTACCATGTTGGCTTGAACAAACTTCTCTTGGTTCATACGTCCCCTGCTGGCATCTAAAACTTGAGAGTTGAGTATTCTTCCGTAGTGTGTCAAATTAGTGAGGTTTTGAGATGTACAAATTTTCAATAATCTTTTCTCATTTCAATGTCTTCTACGTTCTCTCTTAGGTTTCATTTCCCGAAGTCCTCACGCATTGTTTGTCCCAAAACACTGTCAAAATTAACTAGCCAACGGAATCTATGGCTAAACTATTTAAACCACCCAAGCTTTTCCCAACTTCCCAATGTGGAACTAAACCACATTGAGGTGTCACAGGTATACTTCTTCCCAGCTACTAGAGAGGCTAAGGTAGCAAATGAGCTTTAGTTCAGATGTTACTTACTGACTCTCATTTTTATTAAGCGATACATATATGGTAATTCTTGGCGAAAAATATAACCATTGAATTATAAACTAGATTTGCTCCACTTTGCAATGCTCCAAATAGAAATGCCAAAGGCTAAAATTTCAGGAAATGAGAATGATGGTTACGTATCAATTCCGAGTCTCAACCAGCGACAACTCTGATCTATTTATTCAGATGTGTCAGCCACACGCGTGAGATCTACACGTGTTATCCTTCCTGATAAATTGCTGTAGTACACAATGATTTCAAATACTAATTAATTAATTTGCTACAGATATATAAATCTCAATTATTTTGGTGTTTAATAGACTAGCGAGAGAGATGATCTATTAATTAAACTCAATTACATGTGAAACAAAAATGCATACATTGAAGCTGTTCGCATCTAATTAACAAGAGCATTACTAATATACAAAACATGTTTTTGATTGGAACGACATGAATTATCTTCACTTTAAATTTTTACAAAAAGAGAGAATATGAACTCCAAGAAAAATGGTAGGGAAAAAAAAACCCAAAGACTCCATAAAAGGATCACATATTCAACATGTGCCTATGCATCGATCATTGATGTCTTTAGGAACTACAAGGAAGACAAAACAAATAGTACTTATCTTATCCGTATAGCAGATCAATATGTAAGTGAAGATAAAAAACCCATCTTTAATCACAACCATTACTTGATCATAAATGTAATTTTAAATGCATCTCAAAAAAGGAAAAGATACAAAACCAACGTAGTAGGAAAAACACACAATCAATTTGACAAGCGCTGGACCACACAATTGCACAAGCACAAACACAAACAAAATCAAATGATAATGCCCAACAAAAACAATAGGCATCCCATGTATAAATATAAATATATATATATATATATATATATCTAAAAAATATATATCTGCTTGCATCGATCAACTTCTTAATTAATTTACACACTTACACATATGAAACCTATGTAGGTGATCAAAAGGAACTCCACTTCCGTTTCTTGGAACCCGACCTCCGGGAAAACAGCTTCTCCAACTCTTCGGAGCTCACTTCCAAAAAATCGAACTCCGACAACCTCCTCCTACACCCGGAGTTATAACTCCTCGCCTTCTTCGGCGCCGGAGGACAAGTTAACGGAACCGAGGACAGCTTACTCTCGTTAGATGTTGGTGTCCTACATGCTTCCTCAGTATCTTCTGCTTCCTCCTCCTCCTTAGCTTTCTCATCTTGGTTTGCCGACGGTGACTGAAGTCTCGCACGATCATCCTCAAGAGATAACGGTGGCGGCGATGGCGATGGCGATGCCGATGATGGAGTGAGCTCTTCCATAGGTTTGGAGGTCATGAGAGAGAGGAAGCGAGAGTAGTTAAAAGGGAGGTAGGAGTTTGGCTTGGTTGAGAAGGAATAATAGGGGTCTTCTTTCTTTCTTTCTTTTTTATGGAGGTGGAGTCGTCAGCCGGATAAATATTCTTGACTTCTCTATTTGTGTTTTCTCCTTTTGTGTGTTGGCCAACTCGGTTATCTTTCTTCTTCTATTCTTGCTTCCAAGTTGATTTGCTCGCACTTTCTACTTTTTCTTGGGATGGGCCCTTTTGGAAGGTATTCTCGGTAATAAGTTGTACCCAAGGAGATATCGGCATATCGTGTTTCATTAATTGTTATAGTGCATATGATGTCATTAATCATTTATTATGTTGTTTATGTTCT